CCAAACGGATTCTCCCCTATGAACCATCAAGGTTGTTAAGATCTTCTGGAGGGGCCCTGCTCTTGGTCCCACAGCCTTCGCAATCGCGTCTGGTGGGGACGAGGGACAGGGCCCTCTCGGTGGTGGCCTCTTGGCTCTGGAACTCTCTCCCATTGGAGATTAGAACTGCCCCTTCCCTCCTGACTTTCAGAAAGCTGGTGAAAACCTGGCTCTGGAATCTGGCATTTGATGAGTGAGTCAATAACTCTTGACCACACGGACGGATGGGGATGAATTGTGATTTTATTCTGACGACTTGGCCTTATGTAATTATATGATTGTATTTTAATGTGTTTTATATTAGAGTTTTATAGGATGTGATGTATGAACTGCTCTGTTGTAAACCGGCCTGAGTGAGAAGACCGGTATATAAAAGTTCTAAATAAATATTAAATAAATAAATAAACTTGGGGAGAATAGAGAAGAGGAGTCAGGGGAGAAAATGCAGCACAGAAGAGGTAAAGGGGCAGCACAGGAATATCATCTGGATAATCTCAATGGATTCGTATGTGCATACTACATGGTGCGCAAGTGTACATTGTGCATTGCACAGGAGAATGCGCACACATTTGGTTGTGTCTTGTTGCTGTCTGGCTCCATTCATGCAAAGCTCCCATCAAACACAAAGGTTTAATCCACGTGGGGATTTACACATGCTTTAATATCAGTCAATATATTTTGAATGAACTTGCTTTGATTCTTTTTGTATTTTCCCACAGATATGTAATTTTTTCCTCTTTAATGTAATTTGTCTTTTTTAAGACAGGAAACTATGTTTAGATCGCTACAGCGACAGTTTCGTTGCCTTGTCAAAATGAACCAAGGGTGGGAGGATGAAAGGGAACTGGTGGCTTCATTAAGTTTCATACAAACGTTTCATAAAAATTACATAAAAATAAATGGAAACGTGGCATATATCTCTGTGTGTCCTTTCCCCACAACTAAAGGGAAAGGTGTGCTTTAAAAATGGGGCCGAGGGAGGCAGAGAAAGTGGGAGCAAGTGGGTCCAGGGCAGAATATGGTTGCCACTGCAAGTCTCTAGATTTGGACCAGGATCTCTAGTTTTTGAAGGTCATCTCCAGGGATGCAAATTCCCCAATTTT